CCTAAGCAATTTTTTTGGTTTTAAAAATGTCAGGTTTTGTGCTACACACTTATTTATTCGAAGAACACGTTACGTTTTCTCAGTATTATCTATTGATTTTCGTATTTCTAGTTGATCCAAAGAAGAGGGGATTTTGGAAAACCAGTAGAAGATTTTTACAGATCGTGGGAAGAATACCAAAATGGTTTTGGAAACTTAACCAAGGAGTTTTGGTTAGGTAAAACTTTATATATTTATTTAACAGTGAACCAATACTTTCACGTTATTTAGGATTATTTGGTATAATTAATTATTTACTGTCTTGTAAACAATTTATATATCATAGAATGTTTCTGTGTCCAGGAAATGACGTCATCTTCTCGTTGACCAATCAAAACAACATGGTGCTCCGTGTTGATTTGGAAGACTTTGAAGGAGGTCGAAGATATGCAGAACATGACGAGTTCTTGGTACGAAGTGAAATAGAACTTTATAAAATGAGTTTCAAGACGTACAAGGGTAACGCGGGTAAGTTTAAACTATTTGTTGACATCTACAAGTATCCTTTATTGTTGATATAAATATGTTACTGATAAGTAGGTTCAGTAGCCTTAAGAAACGTTTGTACATCAAATGATGTTTATAGAATGGAATTAAACTAGTGAAAGTAACGTCTAAAAACGTCAGTTATTTCCTTACACTTCACTGTTACATCATGTAATATTGTCATATATATAATCGTTCGGTTAATAAAATCATTAGCAGGAATATGAAACATTATAACTCTGGTTCGTATTTACAAAACAATTGAATAAAGAAACCATACTTATATAAACAATATCCTACATTTGTTGTTTATGTTTAGTTGTTTAATTTGGAAATCATTTCTATATTACTGTAGGAAATACTCTTGATCACCATAACAACATGATGTTCAGCACCAAGGATAAAGACAACGATAACAACAGCGGCAGTTGTGCTCAAACCTTCAAAGGCGGATGGTGGTATAATGACTGTCATTACGCCAATTTAAACGGTTTGTATTACACAGTAGATAAGGTAGACACTACTGGTATTACCTGGTATCACTGGAGAATGAAATACAATACACTGAAGACAAGCGAGATGAAAATAAGACCTGTGGATTTTATTATTGGTGAATAAAGAATAAATAAATATGTCATGGTAAATTGTATCTTATGTTATACGTCAATATAGACAGACAAGACAAATAGATATTGTTACGTCTCCGTTCGTTACTTAATTTTCCGTAAATTCGTTCCGACGAAACTTTAGCGACACAAGTCCTTACTTAATAAAACTGGTTTATTCTTTCCGAATACAACTTTACGATACACTTAATTTCAACAGTCGCTCTATAACAAACACTATAATTCACGTCTCACGTGGCCAACAATATTTTGTCCACATACATTCAATTACTCATTATCTCTCCGTCGCTTCGTGGCCGGTTATATATATATACCAGCCTACTCCCAATCTAGTAATCTCCCGACAATTCACGAAGGTTCGAGAATGACGTGGCGTGATACTAGTCACGTGACCTCGATGTCGTAACAATACTTTTAACATGTTTTA